AGCCCTTCCATGTCATGGCTGTCGCCGCCTGCCAGGGCCATTGACATCAGCAGTTTAAGAAGAGGAAAGATCCAGCCAAGAATTTAATGTTAAAAAGGACAACAACAAGCAGGGGAAAATTTAGACAACATCAGAAAAGTTTGAATAGCAAGATCTAATTCGGCTTGAAACAGCTATTCCTGGAAAGTGGCAGGAGTCCTACTGTGAAAGTCACTTCAAACTAAGCAGCGCTCGCACCTGCCCCAGGCAGCAATGGGAAGGCTAAGTTAGCATCTCTCTTTCTCCAGGTCCTGGATCCCCAGAACAAGCAGGTTATCCTAAAATAGTAAAAATTCACTGCACTTGAGAGCACTGGTTAACCCTCAGAGCTATCCGAGTAGTGGGGCACAGCAGGGCACAGTCACGTTACAGAGCCATTTGCTGGGGACAGAGCCAGCGTGGCTAGGGTACCAACAGCAGAGACCTTGACTCGCCCTGCAGCAGGTAGCGGAGCCGGGACCGCCAAACGCTGCTGCTCCAACCCTGCATACAACCCCTGGGGGATGCTGTGCCAGGACTCGAGCTAGCCCTGGTCCTCTACACCACCTCCCGACAGCTGTCGGGCCACAGGAGATTACAACAGCGCTCTCAGGAGATGCGAGTAGCTGAGCCAAGCTGCCTACCCACCTCCCCGAAACACGCTTCAGCTGCACCACAGGCTTTTGCTTCCTGACCACGCTTTCTACCATGGCTTAACTTGGATTGCATTTCTATAAATCACAACTCAGCTCTACGCCTTGACACTTTCTCCCTATGTATGAAGAATCCCTAATGACACCACTCTCTCTCAGAGATTTTTTTTTTTCCCCCCACTGTTGCTTTCTTGATCTGTTTCAAGGTGTTTTTCAAGGACTTTTCACAGGCCTGTATTGTTTGGTATTGTAGAGTCCTTGAAATTATTACAAGGATAGGAGCTACCTAAACACTTAAGCTAAAACCAGTAAAATTCAAAGAAACCCACCAGAAAATAAAAACTGTCCTTGAGGCCACAGGGACATTTTCCAAGCATTCCCCATCCCCTCTGCCAGCCTGTTTCCTGCCGGTAAGCTTTAAGAGGAAAGCAACTTGTCTTACAAATCTGAAGTGCCCAGTAACGACGCCATGCAGCAGCGCTACGCTGAAGTCATCCAAATTCCTTTCCCCACTAGATTTCTGGGGCAGAGAAATACAGGCGTATAGACAAGATTATTTAGCAAGCAATACGTCAGGACAGCATGGAGTAGTGGGACGCCTACCATAGGTCACAGCTCCATCTACTGACTATCTCACAAAATCACAATTTGAAAGCCCTCTGGGAAGGCAAGCCACATCCTCCTGGACCACGCCGGCAGGACAGGCTTTGGATACACTGGCCTTTGCAGGCATTTAGAAAGAATCACAGCACAGCAGGTCAGCCCCAAAGGAAGCAGCAAACCTCCCATTTCAAGGAGGCCTCTTGCACAACAAGAGAACTGCGGTCACACTTGAACCTACAACCTTGGGTCCAGTAACCCTGGACTGCAGTGTTTTACCATGTTTCTGGAGTTAACATTGCAGTGGTTTTAACGGAAGAGTTATTAAGCAAAGACAACACACGCCTGGAGCTAAGCATTTTGGCAAAGCTCGGGTGCAAGCGTAAAAGGGGAAACATTGTGTTCATTAGGTTAGCTTCTATCTGAAGTACGGCAGCTGAGCACCATATGATAAGAAAGAAATACTGTTTTACAGAGAAGCTGCGAGACAAGACCACTGTCACATGTGAAATCTGAGGAAGATCAGGGAAGTGGATAAGGATCACTCAAGCCACATCTCCCACTCTAACCACTAGGACCTTTTTTCCTTACGTGCACAGAGTATGTCCCTGAACCATAAGGGAGATTACCCCTCCCATACGCACAGAAGAAAAAAAGAAGAAAGAAAAACACTGCAATGATTTATCTGCCCACAGGGAAACAGTCTTCTGTAAAGCTCAGAGGAGACCTTGCCCTTGCAAGCCTCTTGTTTGCTGATGAGAGCTCCAGATGAGTTCTGCTCAGCTTACTGTGTTTCACTGCAAAAGAGGCAAAATGGAATCAGAGGCGTTAATGATTTAAATATGAAAACTAATCCCTGTCAAACGGCAGCAAACTTTAACCAGGAAAACGTCTACGAGAAAAATGGACAACATGGGGCCTAGTTTAGAGCTGTCATAGATGTGAGAGCAACTCTCTTGGCAGGCAGGCAAAACAAATACATAAACACTACCCTTATTTTACAGACAAGAACAGTTTGAGAATCAGATCAGGCTTTAAGTCATCAATGTGAAATAGCAGATTTAACACCTGAGCTCCCAACATTACTCTTTGTATACGCACCCTAACAGGTAACTAGTCTGTTCTCCCCCAACCAGTCTCTTCTGTGACCTGATCCCTCCTATGGATCAATATTCGAAAGCAAACAAACAAAAAAAACCCAAAACCCAAACAAAAAACCCCACTGTACTGCACTAGATTGCATTTTCAAGCCTCCCTCAGCTCTACAGCCTGCAGCAAACTACTGGTGCATGCTCAGCCCCAGGCCTTTCCAGCTCCTCACTCCCATTCTTCCCAATCCCCTCTAAAAAGAGAGGGCATGAAAATCACTTAGGCCACATCTCCCTGTTCAAAAGCATCAATCCCTTGGCTGCTCTCAGCCTAAAAAAGGTCATCTCCATAGCCCTGAACCAGGAAGTCTAATCCTTAATGGGACCTGAGGAATACGGATCGATTCCCCCAGCTCAAAGGAAGAGGAGCAAACAAAGGAAGGCTTGCAGCTTTGCCATCCCCGCTCTCGCTTCCTCCTTCCCCGTCTGCCCTACACACTCACTCAGCATCTGCACAGCTTCCAAATCAAAAAAGATAAATCACCCTCTTTCATTCTGGCACAGGATATCTTACTTCAAACCTGCTGCCCAATAGGCTCTTACAATTTAGGGCTTGGATTAAAGACATGCTAGCAGCACATTTTTACAGGAAGCCGTGCTGGGTGAACTCGAGCCCTCATCCACAGGTTTAAGCAACGAGCTAGCTAGCAAGAAAACGCACTCACAGATTTTATGGCATGTCTCTTTGCCCTTGGAGTAATAGATAAAAATGCAGCCAAGAGAAAGTCAATTTCTGACCCCATCTGTAGGCGCATTTGGGCAAGGACAAGAATGGGATCACTGGAAAAGTCACATGGTTAAAGGCTTGCCGATGGCTCATGGAAAACTCCAGGCCTTGCTTACACATCATTTTCTGTATTTCGTTCCTTGCATTTTATTACTAGAGACAGTTGCATGAGAACAGGATCTTTGTTGCTTAGGAGAGCATCTGCTCCCACTGCTTATCCTCCTCCTGAAGTCATAATCTTCCGTGACATCAAAATCGTTTCCAGAGCCACCAATTACTGTGTCATAGAGGATTATGATGACTTCAGGTGCAGAATTAGCAGTGGGAGCAGATACTCCCTTAAAATATATCTATCTCTATCTATATATATATATTTATATATATAGTTTTCATACAAATGTACACATTAATAAAATACAAAAGAAGAAAAATAATATGACGGCCAGAATTGTTGCTAAATATAAAAATAGTTCTTAACATTTCCATGAGGCATCAGCTGCTCTTTGGAAAGTTCCCAGGGTTTAAATTATTAAGAGGTACAGAATGTAGTGAGGATCCATATGTGACACAGAAAAGGAGGAAAAGAAGACTGCAGAAAAATATATTTCTTTCCAGTAAAAGGACATTAAAATTTTGGCCAGTTCTGCAATAGCATCTTAGACAGGAGGGCAGAATAAAAAACGTGAATTGTGGATTCTTGGTTCTTTCTGAGGATCCTCAAAGCACAACTGTATCAGACCAAAGAATGCTCTTACAGACATGAAGCCCTGTAAAAAAAGAAAAAAAAAAACCCAAGAAGCCCTTGACACATCACAAGGAATTTACTTGGATGTGTCCAACGATCACCATCCCAAAAGAACACAGGCCTTCTAAGAGGCAGCAACAACCAACCTCATATGCAGTTTGATAGGTAGCTAATATAGTTGTAGGCTCTTCTGGATTTGATTCTAGGAAACAAGCCAAGTCTAATAAGTCAGTTTGAAGCTGGAGAAAGGCTGGGGGGAGGAGCACCCTTTAGGATGCAGTAATAATGCCATGTGAGCCCATGTGATTTGAAATTTTTATTAGAGCTTAACAGGGGAAAGCAACAGTAGGTGACAAAGAAAACAGACTGAAGGCGGAGAAAATGCCTTATAGGGGGGAAAAAAAAAAAGAGTCTGTTGCATGGGAAATATTTTGTAAGATGACTGCCACTATTAAAAGATTTCAAAATGCCAAGCATAATTAAAAGCCCTCTTTTCAAATGCAGTTCACGGCTCACACACAAGCGCTTCCCACCATGTGAGCTTCAGAACACTGCAAGGGGCCAGGCAAGATGCATTTAAGAACTGCCAAACACGCAAAGGCAGTTTGTACCATTCCCCCCTCCCCGCCCTGAAGAAAAAACCCTTCACAACAACCCTTTAAAGGCTTTGAGTTGCGCTGCCAGGGGATTATCAGTAAGTGACATTTACAAGTGATTAGAAGACAGAATTATCTTAGTCACTTGTGGGAAAGGAGGAAAGCTTCAAGGTCAAACCTCTCGGTACTTAAAATGTCGCCAGATGTTTTGTTTACACAAAATTGCCACTTGATTTATGATGGAGCTGTACATCCAGAACTTCAGCTCAGCCCTGACAGAACTGCAGAGAACATGGGTGGGAATGGAATCAGAAATTCATATACCACCTTCAAATATTTCACTGATTGACTCTTATTAAAATAAGAGGCTAGCTCATGTGCCAAGCAGTTACACAGTACCTATTAGCTTCTTGGAACAAGTGCTCCAAGCCATATAAACCTTAGCGGGCAAGGAAACGGAGATAAATCTTGAGCAGCTCCAGAAATCACCCATCAACCCCTTTCCGCACTCACCTCCGGACAATAGACTGCTGGAGATTTTTGCACACGGTAAGAGATTCTCCCATAAACATGTGGCACATGATGACCTCAAGGCAGCTGGCCATGAATGACATCACTGCGTCAGACTGCAGAGTCCCACTCCGGGAGACGATGCAAAGCCGCTGGAGAGAAGAGCAATGACTCAGTGCTTGGAAGAATTGGGCGCCTGCACTGAAGTACGGCTGTTCTAGCCTGCAAGAACAAACAAAAATAAGTCAATGGGCAATTCATGCCTAAGCGCTTTCAAACCAGAGGAAAGACAAAACATTCAAGGCCAGTTAGTAAACGGAGCAATCAGTTTCTCCCACCTGTTTCACTTACACATGCAATACCCTTCTACGTGCATGTGTCGGGAGTATGGCAGGACAAACAAGGCTTTGCAAGCTCAGGCCTCTTGCTTGCTAGCTACCTTCGAGCTATGCAATCTGGAGGACAGAGACACAAATGTAACGCTACTGCAGAAAGATCTAAACTGCAGAATTCCAGATCCCACAGAGCATTCCCACACAAAACCCTGGTTCTGCCAGTTTTCCACCATAGCACATTGGTGAGATGGGCCTTAGATATGACCAGTAGGTCCATCCTGCTCTTAGAACAAGCATAGCCTAGCTTTTGCTACCTAGTATCCACTGAGCAGCTGCTGTGGAACTGGGGAGTTACTGCTCCAGTGCACCAAACGCCGATCAAACCAGTCATATTCGGTGTACTACCTAGACAGAAGCAGGCATGAAAAATTCATGACTCACACAGGGTGATGCAGAACTCATGCCTTTGAGCCAGAGCAACCATAACCAGCCCTCCCTGGTCACAGGAAAAAGGATGGAAAAGGATCAAAGCTACTGCTCTCCCACAGCAAGAACCATCATCAGTCCAAGCTTTATCTTAAACACCAGGCCCAGAGAACAGTCAGGATTTGCTATTATTGCTGTGCTCAGTCTTACATCGTGGCCCAGAAGAGCGCAAAATGACTCAGTGAAGCCACACGTGGCCAACGAGAGGTCCATGTTTCAACTAACAGCCTCACTGGATTGCTCCCTCACACAAACCAGTCTGCAAGAGCAGAACCCGCTCAGGGGCCGGTCTCACCAAGAGAGCATGTCTGCTTAATGCAGATTTACTACAGGACCTCGGAGCACCTGGGAATCCCAGTCACTGGGTCAGCAAGGCCAAGAGCCCCAAGATGGTTAATCCACTAGGTGATAACATGCTGTCAGTCCCAACCTGAGCTGGATAATCTCTGTGCAGGCTTTTGCAGTATGTGGGGGTATCTCAGCACCTTAATCTCGTTAACTGATAAAGCGTGGCTTAAAGTCCCAGCCTGAGACTGCTGGTCAGGTAACAATGTCAGAAGAACATAACAGCCCACTAGCACATTGGGTAATAGCTTAAAATGAACATTAGAGAAATGGGGAGCCTCTCCAATTTTTCTACAGTGTTACCGGTCCATAATAAGTTCAGATCAAAAAGCACAGAAGCTCCTGCCTTCTCACAGGAGGTTTCTAGGTCAATCTCTGTGGAAGTGGCAAGACACTTGCAGTACTGCCTTTCACCCGCTAGATGACAATGTTGCTTTGGAATATCATCTACAACTAATTTCTAAGCCTAGAGAAAAATCCTTAATGGGGTGGGGACAAAAGGGTAGAAGCAGCAGAGAACTAGTTAAATGGAAAGGAAACTGCATTATCAGGAGGAAGTACCAAGCATTAAAAACATGTTAAACCTACGCAGAACCTTCCCAGACTTTACTCAAAAAGACAGACAGACAGACAGACATCTTACACCGCAACGCGTAGCTGTTACTGCGAGAAGACACCCTTGCTCGTCCTCTACGCTGCCTCACGTTTGGCCTCCACTTCAAAATCTCTGGAAACTACAGGGCTTAAACTGAGCGATGCAGCAGCGCACATCAAAACCCGTTTCCCCGATCTCCGTACTCCCACGGTTGTTTAACGTCTTGAAGGGTAAAGATATATGCACGTGACTCAAGCCATCAAAAGCAATTCCATCTCCAACAGCTGCCATCCCTTCTAGGAGAGAGGGAGACCAACATGCTCCTTGCCTGCTACAAAGGGGAAGTGGTGTGAAAGGAAAACCCCCCCTGAAGTTTTAGCCACCCTGTTTCCCTTCACTATGGCAATGGATTAGGAAGATGAACACAAACACCAGCCTCAGCTGATGAGCAGTAACTTTTTGTCACACTGTAACTGTCTTGGCAATCACACGAGTATTCCCTGAGAGCTTGGCCTTGCTTTTACTGTTGCTGAGTGTTTTACACTTGTTTTGTGAACTGAGGGTGGCAGCAGGGCACCTTTCCAAAGTAATAACATTTGAAGAAGCAAAACATTTAGGTCCTACCAAGCAAGAAACACCAACAGGAAGAACTCTAGATTTGGAATGTTTTCAACATATTATCAAGAAGAGAAAAAGAAACACAAAAAACAGGCAAAACTTCAATACAAACCAAAGGTAGAAAAATATCTCAGGGGGAAACTTGAGGAGATCTCTACATTAACCAGATATCTTAGGAGAGTCTTCCTCCTTGGAAGTTTTCCAGAGATTTAAGCATATAAAAAGCCAAAAAGTCAGAAAAGGCATACAGCGTTTGACACCGCCCTGGCAGGCTGTTAGCTCACAAACAAATTGCATCCACTCCTCCTTAGCTGAAAGGAAGACAGCTGCAGCATAGAGACTTTATACTCTTACAATAGCGGTTAAAGGGCCTGAGCCCTTGAGGACAGCATGAGATTCATTCCCCTTCTCCATAATTCCGGAAGAAAAACATTCAGTTTTCAAGCCGTTGCAGCTACCTTTCACCAGACACAAACACTTGCTATATTGTTACGCTAGCCATAACCAATCGCATACTAGATTTCCAGAAATCCACAAACAAAAGGGCAATGTTCAGCGACAACCCCTCACCTGAGATCTCTCAAACACTTGCAGTGTTTCAGCATGTCCGTGAGAGCAGACATGTAGACCATGTTCCCCATCATGCCCAGGTTGGCCAACGAAAGAGTCCGCAAATGCTGGCACTGCAATCCAATGCTAATAAGCCCAGAGCCAGTAAGGATATTTGGCAGCTGTGCTAAGGTGAGGCTCTGCAAATAAGTCAACTGGCCAATGGCAGCTACCTCCGAATCCCCCACGCTTTGGGCCCGGACACAAGGAGGCAACGAGTTCCGAATCGCTGGCTCGTTGCGGGGCATGGCAGAGGAAAAACTGGACCCAATTATTTCCAAGTTTTCCAAAAGTGGAAGGCTTCCCATCAAAGCCCAGAATACTGAAGACTGTGGCTTCTGACTTGAATACGTCTGTACCCCTACCCGGACTTTCTTTCCTAATGTTTGGGGCATCACATTAGACTGCATGGGAGGCTTTTCCACGTTTGCAGCAACATCCGTGATGGAGCAGACTGGTAGCGCTAACGAGAGTAGGTGCTTTAGTCTGGCCAGAAGCTGGCACAAATGATTCCCTATGTTTTTTGAGCTGTGATGGTGAGCTGCAGAGAGGTTGAGGTGTCTCAGGTTACAGCAGGACACTACCAGACTTTCCAGAATGCTACTGTCAATGTCATCTTCTGCTTTTCGAAGCAAGGATTCCGGAGCCAGACAGTGAATACAGCCACTGAGATTCAAACTGGTCAGGCTTTTAAGATCCTTGCCACCGTTCATAACCCTCTGGATCAACTGACCACCAGATAAGGTGCACCGGCTAAAGCTGAAGTAGAAAGGGTTGTTGAACTTCAAGTGTTGCAGGAGGCCAGAGCCATTAATCCAGGCTTTGGGCAATTGCAAAGCATCCAGACGTACGTTTCGAGCCATGGAGTCCAGAAGGTTTTTAGTGGCTCCTGTCTCTGCAAAACTACCAGGGGCAGAAATGAGGAAGGCATGAAGATTCTCAGGTGTTCGATCACTCAGCACAGCCAAGTACAGCCTCACCACCTCCTGATTAACATAGCCCGGAGCCAGCCTAGCATAGAAGACACGAAGGTTCTGGTAATGGGGGACATTGCTCTCACCTACCATTAGTTGCCCAGAAAGCATAAAACCTTCCCGTGAGCGATCAAGGATCTCAAAATAAAGCAGCAGTTTCTCAAGGCTAGTGCAGCAGGGAACAACGCCATACGATGGAGTGTAAAGGGTTTGCTTCAGTTCCAAGACACGGCTAAGAGTGGCTTTACACTCGCTGCTTAGTTGACCGGCATCGAAACCCGGATTGACGTCTATCGCAAGGGAGCGCAGGTGCTGGAGCGTGGACAGCGTCTTTGAGAGGTGGAGAGAGGTGAGGTGGCACCCAGACAAGTTCAGTTTTACCAGGTTCTTGCACCGTGTGATATGGTCAATAGAGGAGCTGGGCAGCCAGTAGCACCCAGCCATGTTCAGCTGGTAAATCTCTTTTCCAATATCCCTCATCAGCTGCTTCACTTTGTCTTTGTTTACCTGTACTTAAACAAAACCAGATTCAATGAGATATATGGTAAGAGCGGCTAGCGACTCAGTTTCCTATCTGAAGACTGGGATAACAGTGGTTAGCATTGAGATTACGTGGCTCATCCAAATGTCTCAGGACACTAGCACAGTCTAAGAATTATTATAGAGCTGATAGTTGGCATAGTATTTGCCATGATTTGGACTCTTAAGATTATACTTCCTTTACCTCCTCAGTCTGTGCAGTTCTGCAATACCGACCGTGAGGCTGGATCTGTTCAGCACGCCACTCCAGTGGCATGGAGGACAACCTCCATTTTCTAATGGCAAAGCTATTTCAGCAGACAGATAGAAACAGCTATCTATGGAAATATATATTGAAAGAAGAGTGTTTCCATTCTCCTTCATCCAATTTCCTTGTTTGGAAATGAAGCAAAGAGGCTCTCCTTTGAGGACTGTATCACCAAGTCCCAGCAAAAAACTTACTACCCTTCATCCCTAGTTTTATTTTTGTTACAACAGATACACATTTTCTGGCTTAGCTGACTGCACGCCTGACAGCTACATGCACAAACTTTTCTGGTTGTGCAGATTTTTTGTACAATATGGGGAAAAAAAACGTTTTGAGAAAGTGTTAACTTTCCAATTATAGCTGCCTCTGACTGTGGTTGAGTAAAGTCACATTTACTTTCATTTTAGCTTCCAGAAACTAAAAGACGACAGTTTTGACTGACGGCGTTTTATCTAACTAAGGGAACAGAGAGCTCGTCTAACAAAGCATTCTGGAAAACAAATGCTTTTGTAAAACAGTTTTATTGTTCATTTGCCTTCACAGTTCAACTGCAGCATATTTATGCAGACACACAGAAGCTTATTCCTTGGAACTTTGTCAGAAGTCAGATTTGTCTTCAGAGCTAACAGAAGAAGCAAGCTACTCTCCCCACCTTGTAGTCTTTCTGAAGTAAGACTGTATGGGTTAGACTCTTGTCAAGGCAGAGCGTTGCAAGTTTCCTGCAGGTTCTCCTGACGTTCAGGACAAGGTCTGTGCAAGGGACGTAGCTTAGGATGTGCAAAAGGATCTCATCGGAAAAATCCATCAAGTTGACACCGTTACTTTCTTCCTCGCACTCCCCACTTACGATCTCCTGCAAAAAAAAAAGAAAAAAAAAAGAAAAGAGAAAAGAAAAGCTACTAGCTCAGAAACTTCAAAGCTCGTGAGAAAACAGATACCTTAAGACTAAGAACGATTTATGAAGTGCAGCAAAACGGAAGTAGAACCACTTGTATCACAAAGTACTTCTGTCCGCATGGAGAAACCAAAAACTTTCCCTTAGAAAACAATACTGAGTAGTACAAAACTATGCACAAAGCCACAGTATTTTCATTCACTCTTTTGCTGTGGACCACTTTAGAATGAGAAAAAAAAACTCTTTACGTTCAATCCACTTTTGCTGCTTATTTTGCGATTGGGAAAGTAACTTCCCCCATTTCTTTCACAATGTCACACATCATTCTCCCTCCACCTTTCCTCTGAGTGCAATCTGTTGAGATAACCTTTAGCCTTTCGAAAGGTCACACGTATACATCCACGTATATAATAAAATAACAGCACTGCAGTCCAGCTTCAGAGCATCCACAGGTCTTCTGCCGCACGTTTGCGCCTTAACCACTCGAAACGGCGCAGACTCACAGTTATGTCCCCTCGGCGCTCCGCTTGAGGCTTGGCGGGTGCGGCGGCAGGCACCCTTGGGAGCGCGGG